TGGAAAATGTCCTGTGTTCCTGAGGGCTGAATGTCTGCTTAGGATATTTTGCATTTGAAGAACTCCAAAACCAGTCAGACATTTCAAAGTTGCCGCTGTGTAGTTTAGAGCACAGTTTAGTTGAGATATAAAGCCATTTATAGAAGGAAATAATTCAAAATCAGTTTTGAATTGACAGAACTCAACTCCTTCCTTTTTCCCTGTCATTAAACCAAGCACCTCAAGGTGTTACTCTTTACTCTCTAAGGTTTGGTGGCAGCAGAATGTTCTTTCATTCACACAGATGCTCACTGTTTCAATTGAAATAAATGGTTGACTAAATAAATAATACAAAGATTAAATTATTTTTCTGTGAGGTAGGCTTTTTTTTTTTTTTTTTTTTTTTTTTTTTTTTTATTTTTATTTTATTAAAATTAAATTTTATTTATTTTATTATATTTTTTTTTTTTTTTTTTTTTTTTTTTTTTTTCAGATATTAGCATCTTTTAATCTGTCCTAAACTGAATCTGAAAACTTTAAACAGGAAATCTTAAAATGTAGCCATCAATAATCATGTTGAGGGTAGTAGGGGTGGTTAGAAGTCTATTAATGAAATAAACACACTGGAGGGTTACTTGAAGCTAGAGGGCCATTTATCACAAATATCAGCTTCTACAAAAAATACTTGGGRTGGAAGAAGTTTACATCAGAAAACTTGTAACCACCACTTCTACTCTGGCAGTTTGGAAATTAACACACAAGGCAGAAATCAATTTCATAATTAAGCATAATCTGTAAAAGCTTAAATGTTGTTGAATCAGTTTCCTGAATGTTATTCAGAAATATTTATTTTGGTGTTACAACCTACATTTSTTCCAGTCAACAGGTATATAAATATTTTCATGTCTTCAACCACTTTGATCTTAAGCTGTTTAAAAATTCTGAGATTTCTGACTTGTTGTGACTTCTAATAATTTCTGAAAAAGGTGCGAAATAAACATTTCAAGTCTCATCGACTTATGCAAAAGGATAGAGCAATAATATCCTGTCGTGAGGCAGTTTTGATGAACACATTCAACTGACTTGCTTGTCTTTAAACTGATATGAAGTATTGGCTAACATTTTATGCTTTCAAATGWTTCTGTGTAATAGACTTTCTTGGTCAAGATTGCATTTAAACATGCAATTTTCTATTGCAAGCCAACCATTGTACTCTGTCTGCTTTTAATGTTCACATGGGATGCATGTTGAAGGAGGAAATCGAGAAATAATATTAATATCTATGTCAGACAAGGCTGAAATAGGAAACGAGTGACTGAATGGGCACTGGGTGATTTAGTTCAGTCTCTCTGCTGCGCTGAATGGMGCTGTAATGATGGATACAAACATTTCAAACTGACCTGGTTATGACACTCATGGTGTGCAGTTCCACTGGGATGTAATTGAATATCCTCCTCACAATGCATTAGCTGCTTAATTAATTGCACTAATGACATTGTCCAGCATTTTGCATTTAATGATAGAAGATTTGGTTGAAGTAACAACCATCCTAAAATCTATTAATATAAAAATTAAGTAAGATTACCCCAAGATTCCACCTGCTSTATGATTAACTATAAATATCTATTGCAGATTATAATGAATTCACTCAACTGTAAACAAAGTTTTGAAGAATTTTTATGGTAAATAAACAATCACATATTTCCTGGTTATACTATTATTTAGGTTGAAAATGCTTTTTGTTGGGGTTTTTTTGGTTTTTTTTTTTTTGAGGTAGAATACATTTTATATTCATAGAAGCATAAAAAGGGCATTATAAAAATATTAATAAACATTTTTAGCAACAGAGCTAAGTAGGAACTGCTGAGATCTGAACACCCTTGAAAATACATTTTTTCTTCAGGTGTCTGCACAAGCCCTAAACCTTTATTTTGATTATTTCAAATATAAAGTAAAGCCAACCTGCTATTTTTCTGTTTTACAACAGAAAACTTAAAAAACTCTTATGGTCAGATAAAAGGTTAAATACAGATTAACCTCATCTAGTTTAACAAAAGAGATTGAGGGAAGCATTCAGAAAAATGCTGAACAGGTATTAAAGTTCCATGCTCAGATGATAAATGAAAATGTAACCTGGATGACAAATCTAACATGGATCTGGTGAATGGGGTACAGATACAGTTTGTGTATAAGGTRCAAAATGCTCTTCCAATAAACTTTTAGTAGAATTTTTATGTTAAAATTTGTGCTAGTGCCTAGCAATATTAGTCATTTAACTGTGTGATTAATAATTAAAATAAATAGCTGATTAGCAATTGCATGAAGAATGTAGGAGCGCCCGCATGTATATGAATGTCTATAAAAATAATCTCTGAATCATAAGAAGCTTTTAACATCATTTGGAAATGGTTTGATGATGAAGCAGAGGAAAACAATTTTCCATATGGTRTTTTCTCTCGTGCTCAAAACATTGCCTTCCATATAGAACTGTTTTTTCATCTTTGTGCTACCTTTCTACCACCAGGATGAAAGTATTATCATTAGTGATTTCCTGTAAGTTACATTAGGCACACAAAACTGGTATTAGTGTGCTGCAATTGTTTGATCACCGGCTGCTACAACACATGATGTGGATGAGAAGTAAAATCGTATGAGGTGGAACTTTTTGTGCTGTGCAGTCTCTCAAAATGTGACCAGGAAAGTTCTACAACTTGCCATGTGCAATTCTGTGACACAAGGATTTGATATTGAAATTGTTCTTTTTATTTCTAGGTGTGTTCCATGAGACTGGATTTTTTGTTGTTGTTGCTGTTTTTGTTTTGTTTTGTTTTGTTTTTGTGTTTGTTTTCTCAGATTGCTTCTTCTTTCTGCTCTATTTTTGKTTTTTTTAGGTTTTTTTCTGTCTAATGTGATTTTTCGAAATATCTAAGTCATACCTTTATACTGTGTTAATGGCATTCATTTTGCTTCTGGTTTTATTTATGACTTTTTAAATTGAATGTAGGATTTCCTTCTACACAGTATGTGGAATTTTTAGTTCTCTAACAGATGTATTTTTTCAGTTGAGTTGTGATTTACTTCAGCAATGTTGGTGTGTGTGTGAAATGCAAAAGCTTGCCTGCTTCCTGGTGTATTCGGCTGCTCTGTTATTAACATTACCATATAGTTTTTGACAATCATATAACCATATTTAATATCATTCTTGGATGGTTCTGCACCGTCTGGAATGTCTTTCTCACTGTGTCCTCCCAAGAAGACTCATGCCCAGCTTATTCAAGTTGAGCACATTTCTGCTAGATCTTGCTTGGTCACAAAGGCTGGGATTGCTGGATCCTTGAAGCAGGAATTATGCACTGTTCATCACACCAGAGCAGTCAGCCAGATAAGCACAGAAACAATCCACCATGGTCTTTGTTATTTCTAACAAAACCATTTTGTTTTATTCAAATTAAATTAAACACGTTGGAATAATGTCATAGTTCAGGGAAAGACCATTTAATTACTAGAACTTGGATGTTACTAAACATTTTTAACAATGAAAAACCATTTACACAGTACATATAAAAACCGTATTGTCCTTAGACATTTTACCACTCTCCTGTTTCCTTGCTTTTCTAATGAAGTTAGTACCAATGAAAAATCATTTAAATTTTAATATGAAGAAGTTTCTTCTGCACCTCCAGCTCTTTAGAGTCCATGTGAAATATTTGAGCTGCTCATGTCCATGCACCTTTGACCCTCCCAGTGATAGAAGACCATAACCCAGGCACTGTCCAACGACCTTCAGCTTTATTAGATTGACCAGAAAAACAACTTTATAGGCACCATATATTGTGCCTAGAGGAAAGCGAGCTCTAGTTCTTCATTAATCAAATAAATAGTTTTGTGTGTTTCATGTGACCTAATTTAGGGTAAAGGCATGAATTATCCCACAGGTGTGACATTATTGTGCATAATTTTATTTACAATATCTAACCAGAGGTATATGTTTTCCCAGTGACTATATATACATTTGATTTTTATTATAGAATAGTCAGCATTTGAAATTTCATTTTTGATTATCAATGCAGCAATTTTGCTGAAGGGTAATTATCCTATGCTTCATCATTTCCATTTTGCAATTGTGTTTATTTTATTTTATTTTGTATTTACTCTGGAAAATGAAGCACATGGATACTTTGGAATAAGTAACTAATGTAGATAAGAATATGTTCTAAAGATATTTTTACTATTAAAAGGAAGAAACAGGAAAACACTAAAAGAGGCAACACAATAAGATCATCAGACATTTGCTGCCAAAATATTATTTATTAGTAAAACATGTATTTAACTAATATATCTTTAAATAATGTTAAATGTATTCAATGTTATCATGCTGTATTTCTAGTTAAGAGTCAAGAATTAAGCCCAGGGGGTTTCTAGTTACATCAATTGATGTTAGGGAAAGGTGTAATCTTTTGAAATGCATTGCTTGGAAGATAGGGAGCAATGAAGGGTAATTTTTGGAAGGGTTTTGGATTCTTATCGTGTGGAATATTGAAAAATAAAAGCATCACTGAATATTTTATGTGAAAGCATCTAAATTCTTTTTCTCTAAGAGACAACTAAAAACATTCATTCTTGGCATCTTAAGGCCCCATAATGGCAGCTATTGAAAGAATTTCATTTTATAACTGGAGGTCATGGCCATTACATAGTGATAACCTGCATTAGGAAAAGCTCATCCATTTATTCATGGTTCAAAGGTTTTCGGTGTGCATTAATCTTACCCTTATGAACAAATAAGAATATGAGAACAYTGTCCTCCTTTCCAATCAGAAAACTTTGGAATATGCAAGACCAGATGTAAACAAATTATTTCAGCAATAATATTTTTAAATACTGAAACTCTCATGGCTTTGATGTTGCAAAAATGCCTGTGGTTGATAACAGGGAGCATAGAAACCTAATTTTATCTCAGTTCCATTGTATGACACTTCAGAGTTACTAAATTAACATAATTTTCTCCATATTCCATTTAGGGAGTAAAAGGAGAAGAGATGAGCAGAAAGACCAGTCCAGGCTGGAAGGTGCTGACAGCAAAGCGTGAGTAGAAATCTATTTCAGGTTCATTTTCATGCAGTATTTATCTATGATGAGGGCCTGCAGTGTATGAAAACACATTTGGATTTGTTAAACACATAAACCAAGAAACTCATTTTCCACGGTTCTTTGTTTTCAGTTCCGCAAATCTAATTTTTCTGCATTCAATAATTTCAATGGGAGAGAGAGTACACTGAAAGCTTTGGGATACAAAATKATTTCTTCAGAATGAATTCTTTTTTTATATTCAAGGTATTCAGGGATTAGTTGCACATATGGTCACTGAACTGAACTCTAAAACTCTGAACTTTCCCCCAGTAAATGCTTCCTACAATTTAAAGAAGAACCAAACACCATGGAAGTGATACAAAAGAGACRGTTAAACAAGTGGGGGCCATTCCAAGGTAACCCATGGAAAATGCTGATTAAAGGAGAGTTCCCATCTAGCTATTTGACTCCTTTGTGCCAGAGAGAGAAAAGCTGGAAAGAAAGGAAGCWTAATTTAAAGACAACATATGTTGGTTGTTGCTTTGTTATGCATTTTCACATGCATGTCTGAGAATTTTCCTGTCAGTGACTGCAAAATAAAAAAAATAGTTCTTTGTTTGGTTTTACTAGAAACAAGGCCATTTAATTAAATTTTAACATATTGTGGTCTCTCACTTTAATATATGGTACATTAATTTYCTGTGATGCTGGCATGCTGTGCTGATGGATTTCTCAGTCTGCCAAATGAAGTAAACCAGGGATTTTTCAGGCAGTTTAATTTTTTCCAGGAGTGATTGCATTAACATTCTTTTTGGGAAGACAGTTATCAAAACTATTTATTTTAATAATATTAATATTAATATATTAATAATATTATTAATATATAACAATATGAGTAATAATAATATTATTATTTTATATTATTATATTCATTTTAGGACTATATGTACAATGTTTCTAATCTGAAGTTTTTCTAAGGTTTTTCATATTTCACTGCGTCTTATACTCCAAGGAGTGAATGAGTGTGGACAATACTGCAAGTARAAGTTTTTTGTGCAACAAAGATTTCTGTGGCCATGTACAATATGATGTGATAGAGGATTGCTTCTGAAAGAGCAGCCTTATGCAGCTTGATAGACATTCTATAGTCCCCTGCTCAGTGATCCAAATTTACTGCACTTTGTTTCCTTCTTGGTACTTTAAASAGATTATTGAAAGAGATATTGAAGTACTGTAGGTAGATAAGATGCATTTTCAGGCTGTAAAATCACAGAGGTAATAGATAACRTTTAAGTAGGATGCATTTACCATAAATGAACATTTATTGTTGTTTTGGGGTTTTTGTGAGACAGATAGTTTAATGTATAATTTACGACACTATTGTCAGTTAGCTTTGCTGCACAGTCTTGATTTTTAAACCATGGTATGAAACTGGACTGAATCCTGCTTTTAACTCTATTAGACAAGAAACCCTTGACTTAACATGTCCTTTACAAACATGGCTTTTGCAGCAATTTTATGGTGGAACAATTCYAGTAGTCCAGTTCAAACAGGACATCAGCAGTTAACAAACCATGTCTCATCTAGAAGGACATGTTGCAAACAATGGATTATTTTGCTGTGCTGATGGTGATTGTCATGGTGACAGCTTAGTTGTGTCGCAGCCAGGGTTTGCATCGGTACCCAAGCTGCTCAAACAACCCCCTGTGTCAACACTACTCCTCACCTCAGTTTTAATAGAGCAACTCACTGAGTTTAGTGAGCCCAGGCTCTGTTCCTGTTCACCTCTGGAACTTGTGCATTCACTGGTTGTGCTGATTTAGTAGGAAATACAGGATTTTCAGAAAAGCAAAGTGCCAAACCCTGTTTAATTCCTTAGCTTGASTGCACTCACACTAAAAGGATTCTCTCATCCATGAGAACATGGTGGTGTTTACTTTCCACAAGCAAAAGATACGTGCTGGATGGATTTTTTTCTGTGTCAGAACACTTTTTTTTTTTCTCTGCTTCCTTCCTGCATCAGTTAACAAGGGTGTTTCTCAGCCCTCTGTGGCAGCAGAGTTTGGCAGAGGTGACAGAGGTGGTGCTGGGTTGTGATGCTGCACAGCAGGCTAATCTAAGCAAGGCATTAATGCAAGCCTTGGTGGGGTGGGGTTCAAGATTAAAAGTTACTTCAATTTTCTAATCACTGGGAGGGCTACTTCCAGTAGGGCTGTTTGGTGTGGCTAATGGTAATCCCAGGAACTGTAAATAATGGGGACGTGTTTGATCTGACTGAGAGTTGAACTTTTGCCTTCCTAACACATCACATACAGTATAGGAATATGCTAAATACTGTGACTGTGTTTCCCTTAGCATGTGTGTTTGCAGCTGATTTTTAACAGTGCAGGAGATGACTGGTTGGAGGCTGCCTGCCTGGCAAGGTGTTTTATCTGTGGTCTGCCTTAATCTAGTTGTCTTGCTTTCAAAGTGAAAAGAAAATTTACTTCAAGGAGCTCAGAAAATAATCCTCAAATCTTTTTCTATTCTTTGACTTTAATATAATCATTAAATTCACATTTTGCATTCACAAGTCCTTTAAAAGGACTTGATAATCATTTTTGTTCAGACCTATCAAATCCTGYATATGATTTGTGTAATCTACTGAAGTTCTTTGTGGTTGTTTTAAAATCCTGACCCTAACACAGCTGACCTGGTTAAAATATGTAATAACTCATATTTTGTGGTTAACCAGGACAGAATTACAATAATGCCGGAGTCTRTTAAAGTAAAAGGCTATGCTTATATTATTTAAAGGTCAATGAAGTCCTGTACCATGGCATCTGTGTTYCTGTACTGTGTTCCCAATCTTTATGTTTTCATATGGACAGAAACTGGTGCATTATGTTTTGAAGTTGATAATGAATATTGGGGAAAGAATATTACAAAATAATTCAAGTTTAACATTTTAATCATGAACTAACTTGCTATTGCTGGGTTTCTGCAATTTGCCTGCTTTTTCCCTTCAGCAATGATTACACTTTTCCCTAATTTTGTCAGACAGAATGGTAATAACCCCAGGCAATTATGCTAAAATAACATGTCAGCTACTCATTGTTTTATTTTTAATGTATTAAGAAATTAAATGCTCCAAAATGCAACAGACTGAAGAGCTGGATGCATGTTTTATTCATGAAGGGTGTCTTCAGAAGACACCGTGGCCAATGGTGTCCCCCAGCTGCCCGCTGTACCAGCCCTGCACAGCCCCAGGGCRTCCCACCCTGCCCTTCTCAGCCTCAGCCAGGCACAGCCACAGAAGGGGCAAAAATCTGCATTCTTGGAGGAAATTTATCCCATTTCTCTTGGGAGTTTGACCTCCTCCTCGAGAGCGGGGAGTGGAGGAGCAGGGATGGAAGGCTGTGGTGACTGATGGCTGGAGAGTTCAGTATGAGCTGTTTGTGATCTTAGATATTCCTCCACAACAAAATGCTCACACAGCCAGAGGAGCTGATGTGCTGGAACATTTGGAGRGTGTGTCCTGATCTAGCTGGACCATTGCAAAGGTGACTCCTCTCACCATCCACAGCACTTGGCCATGCTGCTGGAGAGGCTGGATTCCCMAAAAAAGTGTCACCCTGGTATTGTTAGGTTTTCTTTTAGCAAACATTCTGTCCCTGGGAATCTGTGCAATGACACGAAATAGGCACAGACGAAGACAACATCTCACTATCAGATTACAACTCCACTTTGGACACATTGAGGGGAAAGAGCCGAAGGGTTTGGTGGCTGTGCAGTGCTCCAGAGCAGGTGTCTGAATACCTGGGCTTTGCTTCTCATGGAAAAKGAAATAAAGTCTGCAGTGGTTTGGTCTGTGAGAGGTTCTTGTCCTTGTTGAGTGTGCTGCATCTCCTCCCTGTGTCTGGCAGATCTGTTTCATGTTAGAGAGCAAAGAACACCTTTTRCTGAGATGCTTTATGGACTAAAAGCGTCGTGCCTGTTCCATTGCATATTGCTTTCAGGTTTTGCTTTGACCAGGGGCGTATCTTATTATTATCAATAGCCTTTGAAAATGAGCATTTCAGGTAATTTTCACAATCTCATTGACATTGTTCTTATACACACTACAATGTGCTTTCAAAATTGCCATACTGACATCAGGAATGAATGTGATAATCTGACCCATTTGAAGAGAACCTTTGAAATTCTTTTTGTATAMGTTGTGTGTGAAAATCTGCTGATTTAAAAGGAAAGGTACCTTTCATCCCATTTTATCTCTTGACAGATAACTGACCATTACACCTCCTTGTTCTCTTTCATGATTATTAACAGCTTAGCCATATGTCTTGTAATTTCTCCCTATAAATAATTCTAGGCTCAGAAGTTTGTTTCTTTTATAAATTAAGCTATCCAAAAGTGATAGCTCATTTCTCCATAACTAGAATCTGTCTCCTCTAGGGGCAATTTGTCTTTGCAGCAGCTAACCCTYAGGCATTATTTATTTCATAAACTTATATTAATCATCTTTGCCAGTTTCTCTCAGTCTTTCTCTTCCCACAGTCTKCTGCTACAGTCAGAACACCCACCAAGTTTTCCAAATATTTGTACTGCTGATTTTAGAGGACACAGAGTTATCTGAGAKACTGCTTTATTAAACCTTGATTGTTTAAGTACCAGTCACCAGTGATTTCTCATGAAAACTTCAGTCTGATTTTTGTTGTAGAGTAGGGAATGTCTGTTTTGTGAAGTCAGTCAGTATGACAGGGGTAGATACACAATCATTATGGGTTATCCTGTGGGAAAGACAGCTGCAAGGAATGAAAATGAAAGTGAAGAAGGATGGGAAAATCTAGCATCAATGTTTCTGTGTTTTTCTTGCACTGACTAGACAGGAAGTTTCTTAATCACATCTTTCCAAGCCTCTTGTGTCAGTGATGAGAGTAAGAGAGATCTGCATTTGAGAAGCCTCCCCTGCCGTTCTCAGCGTGTTTCCAGGGAGCTGTGGCTGCCCAGGGATGTGAGAGGGATGGAGCCGTGAG